AAAAAGGAAGTATAAAGGTCGACTGTTCTATTCTATCCACAAGAAATTGTTATTTTAGTATTTTACACTCCACAGTCCACACTCGGTCAAAATGAAATTCAACGATCGGGGCGATTTTCGTCTTCTTGCACAAGTAGTAACCGTACGTACCTAAGACTGATTGACTGAACAATGAAAAAAATGAAAATGACTTTTTAAAGCAAAAAACAGCTACAGAAAAGCAAAAAAAAAAAAATATGCTTCGCCTTTTTGGCACTCGCATAAAGGCAAAAGCACAAACCAACACACATTGTGCGTGGGAATCAGCTATGGACGGAGATATTTCTCAACGAAATACGACGCCGGCGGACGCCGGCGACGGCGATAATAACGGTACCTCTCGGTCCATTTTTTTCTGTACTCTGTACTATAATTTTTTTTCTTTTTTTTTCCCCTCTTTTTTTCCTGTTATTCAGCTGTTTTTTTCCTTTTTTTTTTGGTTTTTAGCTGAATCGAGGGTTTTCTTTTGTGCAAATAGCCATTTTTTACTGATTTTTCGTAGTTATTATTTTTAGACGGGCCGATTTTGATGAGTTTTGGGTGGTGCAGAGGTTCCGGCGGAGCTCTCTCAGGCACCGCGGCGGTTGATCGGAAAAGTGGAGGTTAGGGCGTCTGTTTAGAGTTCAAAAATGAACTTTATGTTGCGAAATTTGTTCCTTGTTTGGGGAAATTGATTTTCGTTAAGAGTATTTTGTTCCATCATTGTTGTTGCTATCCTCTTTTACTCTACTTCTTGTTATCGACAAGCCATGATGAAATAGAGTGATGAATCCATTTCAGAATATCCTGTTCTTGTTAATTTTTCTTTTTCTTTTTTCTTTTTTTCGTTTTTCTCGTAATTTTATAATTAACGGAGAAATATAAGAAGAAAAGAAACATTGATCACTAGACTATAAACTAGTTTTATTAGTTACACATTAGAATCTGGTAGCAAATTGTCTCAGACACAAGTTTTTCGAAGTGGGTATGAGGTTATACAGTTGGTTAATTTTGTAGATGTTAATTGGAAATCCATCTTCATTTCTTTACTTTTTTCTGTTTTTCGATGTGAAAACAGAACTGTAATACTACTACTTTTCACTGTAGATGGTCTCAAAATGTGATAGAGCTCAGGACAAAGAATTGCAATCAATGGAAAACGATACCGGAATTTGCCCTAAAGAGCCGGATAAGATCTCCGAAGACCCGATACCAATACCCTTCGTCTCTAAGAAGAAGACTACTGATGAGTACAACTGGCGGAAGTACGGCCAGAAGCACGTAAAGAACCCGGAAGGTTCTAGAAGCTACTACAGATGCACGTTCTCCAACTGCAGTGCAAAAAAGATTGAGTGCTTTGATCGTTGTAATTGTGTTACAGATGTAGTTTACAGAAGTCACCACAATCACGATCCTCTCAAGAAGGTAAACTGTGGCACAGAGTTTAGGCCTGAAATTAATCAGATAACTGAAACAAAACAGCACGACTCGCCTGATTCTAAAATTAAGGAGGAAACTGATTGTCCTAAAGAGGAGAGAAGGCAAGTGTTCTGAATTATATAAAGTCAGTGTTTTACAAATTTTTCCAGTAGGCAGTTGTTAATAGATGTACCTGCTAAATGTTTTACTTCTATGAATTGCTTGCTAGGCAGAAAAGAAATTTGGAAAGTGAAGTGAGTTCTCTTTCTGAAAATGGAAAGAGACGAAAGTTCGTTGTTTGTGAGGCGATTGATGATGTCAGCACTCCCGGTGATGGATACAGATGGCGAAAGTATGGCCAGAAAACGGTGAAAGGCACTCCTCATCCTAGGTAATAAACACCCGAGTTTTCATTTTTTTATTTTGTAACTTTTTTCTAGTGATTGTAAGTTGTAACATGTTTGACTGATGTTCAGAAACTACTACAAATGCACGTCGGCTGGATGTACTGTACGAAAGCACGTAGAGAAGGCTACAGATAACACGAGTTCTGTAATAATAACGTACAAGGGAGTACACAACCACGAATTACCCGTGCCCAAAAAGCGTCATGGCCCAAAGAGTCCACTTTCTTCATCTGCTGCCACTTCTCCTCTTTCTAATGATCGTTTACGAATTACCAAAGGTGAATATGATCCAAACCGAACCGAACAACAATCAGCTGGTGAAAAACTCAAATCGAGTGGTGGAGAAGAGAGCACGAGAACCAAAGAGAACACTTCTGAGAGCTGAGTTTGAAATCGAGCACTTGTGTGTGCAAAGAGTTATCAGGGTAGTAACAAGTAGAAGAGATTGGGCAAATGGGGCTTTTGTGTTGGATAATTATTGGAAAATATTTTATTCCCGACTTACCTTGCATAACTTATTTGGGTTTTTGGATTAGTTTTAAGTTCTCAGTATCTGAGGTTGTTATCTCTCGACAAATTTAATGATAGTCGCAGAGATTAAGGTTTGGAGTGCTTTCTGTACATGAAAATGAGAAGTGAGCTTTTTACTACATTTGTTCGAATAATTACGAGTTGATCTTGATGTATGATTTGTTGTCTCGGGTTTTTTTTTTCTCATTGGCCTACCATAGATATCAGATACCAACATGGATATTCTGACATCTTGAATCTTCAAATGAAAAATAACTCGAAATCCGTTATTTGTCATGCTAATCATATTCATATGAATACTCGGTATAGTAGTCATAATTCATGATACCAATTATGTGAGCAAGAAAGAAAGAAAAATAACTGACAATGAAAAGACACTCTTTAGAATGAATTCTCCTTGAGCACAACACATAACTAAAACAAGGAAAAGAAGATATTATCCACACACAAGATAAACTTAAATCTCCTATAAGCATTAGATTTGGGATACAATAGAAAGTATAATTTATGGCCATGCCCATATCTCACTTAAATTCATTTGAAATATGCAATCCCTTCAAAACGAAACTGACAAACTCCCCTTTTGGCAAATCTGCAATTAGTATTTCAAGTGGCACAAGACGCCATTCACAAGATTCGGAAGTTGCACCTGAAAATGTTCCCCACATCAGAGAGATCTTTTGTATCTAAAACAATTCGCAACAGCAATAGGTACAAGTAATGGAAAATACTTGAGAAAAGGTGGAAAGAGAACAAAAGTGGAAGAAAAAGGAATCAGCTCCGAGCTGAGAAATTGTTGTGTCAAAATTTCCCACTTGTAATTTCGTTAAATACACTAGATCACTGATTATATTTATGTCTACATTTAACAATACCCTTTTCAAAATTAACGAGCAATTTTGATTTTCTCACATATATAAAGCCACAGTAAGATACTTTTCCATCGAGTACTCTTTAACCAATGGCCATTCTCAGCTTCTAGTTGCAAATACTATCACTCTTGGTTTTCAGAACTTCTACTCGGAATAAATTAATGCTCTGAAGAACTTTTTGGAAACACTCAATACACGAATGAGATTAAGAAATAAATTCAGTAATACCACTTGCAAGCTTTGAAAACCTAGATTGGTTTCCTTGTAAATATTTGAAAACATATTTTTGCTTTTCAATGTTACAATATTGTGTTGATCAAGAATTTCGATGGGGAATTATTTGTTTAATGTGCCTGATAAAAACTCTTAAAAGAGAAAGGCATCAGCACAGAAGCAACAGCACAAAACCCACTTCACACAGTGTGTTCAAGACTTTCTAAGAAGTAAAAAACGCAATCATGACACCTGATTTTGATGTTATAGTAAAAGTAGAAGCTTCACGAGTTCTTACTTCTTAGACAAGAATCATGAATGACAATAGAAAATGCAATGAGCTAAATAAACAGGACAAATAGTGTAACTTACCCAAGTAGACCCCGGCCCGCCCACGATCTCGGAGTAACTGTCAAATTCAAGGGAGAACCATGCCTCATCACCAGCAACGAAATTGCTTGGCCTCGCTTTTGCTGTACTTCAGCAGATAGCCTCTGCAGCAAATTCTCACCTTTCTCAACGTCCCCGAATTTCACAATCTGATCACCAAGCTGTAAACCATCTTCTGCTGCCGGGGACAAGTCAGTGATTTCATCGATTATTGCAAAGGGTCTGTTGACAACTAAATCCATATCCATGTCAACAGGATGGCTGAAGGATGAAGACACGCCAACGTTTGCATCTTGATTTTTATGATCTTCAGAATCATGTTATGGGTTCGGTTAAAAATGCCACGAATTGGAGAGTAAGACATTTTTTACATTAAACAAAGTCCACAGCTTGCTTGCAGAAATGGTGATAAATAACTTCAGTTCCGGGATAATTATTAGATTTGATAAATCTCACGAGTTGCATGACATATCACAAAGTTCAAATGAAGATAATAAAATTGCAGATGAGTTGCTGACCTGAATCTTGAACGGATGCAGTTGCTGGAGCAAGTTTTGCAGAATGCAAAAGCTGAATGTTTTGTTCTATTTTATCTGTAATATCCTTGTGATCATTACGGAGTTCTGTAGCAGGAAGAACAAAATGAACAGAAAACGAAAGTCGTTATCTTATTTAACTTCCAGCATCAGCAGACACCACGATTTTATAACAGACAACACATTGCAAAAATGGAATGTCATTTCCTTTACAACGGCCACATGCTATAGTGTACCACACCATCATCATCATCATCATCCAACTTCCAAGCTAGATAAATTTAAAAGTATCCAAGAACAACATAATGATTCTCATATCATTCGTAAGTTCTTTATTATTGCAGTTCCTCAAATGCATTAGAAGCCCATAAATTTATTCAGAAACAACATGGAAAGTTAAAATAAATCATCTTGCTGACTGCAATTCAATTCATACCAAAGTGCCCTTAATTCATATGAGCAGAGTTAGGAATAATCACAAACATATAAAAAAATATGTTTTCACAATCACCCAAAAAAAAATTGCACTCAATCAAAATTACCGGCAAGCCTATGTCGCTCTGCTCTCACAGCAGGGATGTCAATGTCCGACCTCGGAAAACCCTGAAAATGTCCCAACAGTGCAACTTATAACATTCAGAACCTTCCAATACAAAAATATTCATCTTATTATAGCTCACATAAAACAAAAACTTAATAAAAGTAATTTGTTTTAAGAGAGGGACCAAATGAACTATAAAAACGATTTTGCCTCGGGATCGAGAAGGTTGCCGGCGAGGCCAGGGCCGCCGGGCCGACAGAGGTTCTCGATAATGACATTCATCTCCGCCTCTATTCCGCTACGCTTCTCCATAAGTTTCATCGTCTCTGCTTTCAAATTCGTTGCCACCATCTCAAGAGATTTGGATCAAAATCTGCAAATTGACAACTACTGCTGCGTGAAATCCAGCGCTAGGGTTTAGATAAACACACTTTTTAAATTTGTCTCGTAAATTCACATTTATATATTAGTAAGAGTTTATAAATAGAAATAATAAAGTTTTTCTGTAAATTTAATTAGAAAATTTATATTTCCTATTATATACTATCATGTTTTAAAAAAAAAAAAAATGCACTGTATAATTTATTACTAGTGTGTAGCCCGTGCGATGCACGAGTAAATAAGATTAAATAATAATTATAAATTAACGATGACATTAAACAATATTAATTAATAATTATAATTAAATATGAGGGTAAACAATATTAACTAATAATTGTAATTAAGATGTGGAGTTAATATGTGACATAATATATTGTATATCAGTTGTAAACAAAATAAAATTATCTTGTATAAAATAACATAAAAAATGTATGTTTAAAATATTAAAAACACCTAAAATATTATATTACATATGTAAAGTATCTAAAATTTTATATATCATTATTGAAGATGTGAAGTCACCTAAAATCTTTCTAAACTATTTTATAAATAAAACATGTCTAAAATTATTTAAAAAAATCTTGCCGAAAATATATTATTCAATTTCTAGAAGATGATGGTAAGTATAAGTTTGAATTTTAGAATCCACGTGAGTATTATAAATTATTCATTATGTTAATTTCTTGTGAACTTCATATTGATTTATTGATTTTATTTTATTTCTATACAAAGTTGATCGTCTCATTTTGTTTTACCATATTTTCGTGGAGATTTAACAAAGTCGATTGCATTTATAAAGTGATTTGGATATCAACATACAATTTATAATAGAGTTTTCAAAATCGTGTACTATTAACAAATAATATATTATCATTAAATATTTTTTTAAATGCACAATTATTGAGACTGATAATTTGATAATTATTTTACCTTTTGAAACTGAGTATAGAAGAAACAATAGATTTGTAAAAGAAAGTGATAAACATTACCAAGTTTATTATCACACGTTCCAAATAAAAAAAAATTGTGAAGATTAGTGGAAAATGATATTTAACGAATAACATTCAATATTTGTTTTGAAAGGCATCTATACTTATATTAAAAGATATATCATTTACCAGATTTAGTATAAAGAAAAGTCAACAACATTTATTGCATTACTATTTCCGTATTATACAATCTATACTTCTATAAAAGGAGATTCTATTTACTACATTTACTATCCAGAAAAGTCAACTGCATTAAATGTCATTACTATTTTGGTATTATAATATTTTATTTATTTAATTAATTTATTTATTTGTTTTATTTTAAAAAGGTAAGTATAATAAAAAGATTTTAATAATAAAAAAATCAAATATCAAATAAAAATGTACACTTTGACTTATTTGATTATATTTGGTATTTGATTATACCAAATATATTCCTATTTAGTATATACATTAAATACTTACTAAAGTATTTATTTGTTTTATTTGTCAAAGTTAAGTATAGATTTGTTTATATTATCAAATCATAAAAGAATATTAAATCCATATTGTAAAAAAAAAATCATATAATTTTATAACAATTCTACTACACTATTTAACAATATTTTTTTTTTATTATATAATAAAATAATAATTAAATATTATATGGTGAACAACAATAAGTAAAACTGTTACTTTCTCTTATATCAAGGGATAAATTTATATGCTAAAATTAAATTTTTATTAGTATAAATGTTTTAGTGAAATAATATATTAATTATTTTACAAGCTAGCCCTAACATGCTCATATTTAATGTTTTAAAAGATGTAGAAAAAAAACTTATAATAACTCTATTGTTTTTTAGACTTAAACGTTGATTAAAAGAGGTAAAAATTTCTAATTTTTTAGACTTAAACGTTGATTAACACCATAGATTGAGAGTTTATATTTAGTAAAATTCCTAATTGTAATAAAAAAATTAATTTTTTCTATATTTTAGAATATCTTTAAATTCATTATAAAAAGAAAAAAGAAAAAAACTATAATGAAAAAAACAAATGAGCTATATATCGATTTGTTGTACTCCTCAAATCACATTCACAATTTGGCTACAATGAAAGGAAACTCATTGATTAAAATATTATTTTGTCAGTAGTCTTAATGTACAAGAGACTTTAAGACTCCACTTGAATATTATAAAACTTTTATTGTACATTGTACAACTTTTTTGCGTATTATAAATTTTTATTGAATATTGCATCTTATAATATAATATTCTCCAAATAAATATATCTCGTGCTTCGCACGGGTCACGTACTATATATATCTCGTACATTTTTCTTTATTCATGTATATAATTATAAGCCTGGATAAATAGCCTTAAAATTGTGCACCTCGGGCATCGCACGGGCTATGTACTAGTAAATATAAAGACAAATATTCTAAAATTTTTATCACCTTTTGAATTAAAATTTTATAAATATAGAGACTGAGATTTTAATGTTCTTCGTTGTTTCTATGAAAAAATAAAATAAAAATAAAAAATGCACACTTAATAGATCTTAGCTAGAATTTTTAAATAATAAAATGAATTAAAACAAAAAATTTAATGCAACATTACATGTTGTATGATTTTTTAAAGATAAAATAAAAAAATAATAACACTTACTATTTATAGGTTGCATTAAATTCTCTCCTATTTTTTTGCTACTATTTTTGTTAAATGGTAATTCTTATTATATATGTATAGATGTGATACCTAAAGGGAAAGATACTCATAAGTATGTCCAAATTATCATATATCACGTATTAATTATATTATTATAAATTAATTATAGATAATAGAATAATATAAAATGACTATTATATATAATAAAAATTCAAAGTTAAAATTTGTTGAGTTCTTATTGATTCGATATATTTTTATATATTAAAACTAATTTTTAAAAAAATAATAATTATTTAGTTCTTCATCATTTTTTTCATACACTCAATATATTGTTAATGGGGACACACTCCATAAATCTATATCTATATTCATGTGTTATTATGAAAAAGTTTACAAATAGATTAAAAAATCTTTTCAGTCTTTTGTATGACTAAAAAAATAAATATTTTGATTACATATAAAATTCAAGACTTATTGATATTTTATCAACATTTTACATATAAAATAATAAATTAATCATCTTTATATATATATTTAAGATAAAACTCATAGTGGGGATAAAACTTAAATTATATTTTTATATTTATATACAAATAAATTTTTCATAACATATTTATATATTTTAGATCATCATTACTTGAATCTATTACTCCATGTTAATAATGACCATGTCAATATTTTTATTGAATGATAACTCTTAATATTTTTACTAAATATTTATAAAATTCTAACGAAATATTAATCAAACATTTCTTTGGTTGAGTGCATTTTTAAAATTCTTAAGAAAAGTGCAAATTCTTTAAATATTAATTAAAAGTGAATATATAGAATCGAGATAGTTTGGGACTGAATTTATATATAATCGGACAGATTTATAGAAACCCGAGCACAAAAACTAATCAATTAGCACTTCAAAAACATAGAAATGAGTAGAGAAGAGAGGAAGAACTTGTGAGAGCCTGAGAGGTGTGAAAAAATCTGATTTGGAAGGAGGGGAAGGTATTTATATAGATTTTTTCAATTTTTTTTCAGATTTTTTTCGTATCTTTTTTGAATTTTTCGATTTTTTTTTTAATTCAGGATCCTGACTCGACAAGTCAAACGGGTCCATCAAATCTGGACCGTTAGTTCTGTTTGTAGTATTTTTGGGCATGTGGTAACCGAGCTACCCGACTTGGGTCATTCTCAAATGAAGGCTGTCCGGAGTTTCGTTCACTACCTAGTCGTCAAAGTCACATAACCGAAAACAAGGTCCTAAACATGCTACTCGCTTGATTGGGGATGATTGCACGAAATTAAACTAAGAATCTAAAGCAAATGACGGAAAATGCAAATATAGAGAGAAAGATCGAAACTCTGGTCTACCGGAATCTTCATGACTCAACAAAAAGAAAAATAAACAAGAGAAAACATGCGAGCATAGTGATCCTAGGTAATCTAATACGAGCTTTCAACACTTGATCATCACGCTTTAAGCAAAGTCGAGATCTCTTCACAAGATAAGCACATATAGATTCCTAACACACGTACGCAAGTAATAAAAATAAAGCAAAACCCTAGAAACGAGCATACACACAATTCAACAACACGAACTCGAAGTAGAAGGGCTTAAGCAAGGTACCTACTCTCCTATCGCATGCTTGAATGAAAATAGTGAATAAACTTGAATGAAAATAAACTTGCCGGAATTTCGCCGAAAAAATAGAGTTATGGACCTCCAAACCAAAGCGTAAAAAGAAAAGAGAGAAAATAGAAAGAATTTCCCAACTTAAAAACAGGCTTGGGATAGAAATAGATAGAAGGGCCCCATCTTTCTTAGAAAACCTCTAAAAAGGCTGTTTAAAAGCCCTACAATCACCTCGACGACGAAATCCGACGAAAGCCCTAACGATCGAATCAACCGCGGCTGAAAAGTTTGGAAATGATGGGTGGTGTCCAAAAATACAAAGCACAATGTCTATTTATAGCTACACCACAAACACACACTAAAAACACACACATTTAATGAGGAAAACTCGCGAGGTAGGCTGATTTCGCGAGCAAAAGGTGGATTTTCACATGCTAGAGCAAGGTTGCGAGTGTTGGGGCTAGGAGATGCTTAGACTCGCGGCGGGCCAGGCGTTCGCGCGCGCGGGGAGCGGTTTTCGCGAGCTAGGCAACACACCAGGACACTCGGGGGCACAGCAGATTTCGCGGGCGCGGATGGGAAAAACTCACGGGCAAAGGCTTGGGACGATGTTGGTGGACTCGCGGGTAACAGGGCTTCCCCGGGCGCGAGTTTAGGAACTCGCGGGCAAGCGCGCCATAAGCTGGAACTCACAGGCGGCTTCGGTTTCGCGGGCGCGGGTATGCGAAACTCGCGGGCGACGCTGGGCTGGAGCTGAGGAACTCGCGAGCTAGGACTCCTTCTCGGGCGCTCATGGCCTCTTGATGCTCGATTCGCTCTAACTTCTCGCACGCTTCTCCGATTGACTCGAAACTTCGACCCACGCTCCTAAAATCTCTTTCTCTTCGTCATGGAATGCTCAAATCGATATCACAACGCAATTAATATATATGTTCGGAAATGGTTCGCGTGGCTCGGACATGATTCGGACGACTCGGAAATGTCTCGGAAATGGCTCGTAATCCCAAACTCAACTATTGTGGACCTACACAACGCCAAAAAGACAAGAAAAATACGCCGAACCACAAAAGCACAATACGAGAATAAAAATGCCCGAAACACGATAAAATGGACCGGTCGACACTAAAACAAACCTAAAAACACTAAACTAAAGCACGCAAAATACACGAAAATAAGCACAAAAACACAATAAACAAGATCTCAACGGTCAAATCGATCCAACGGCCAATCTCGAAAAGAGATCGTTGTTCCTGACCCGACCGTTGGACCTAGATGGGCTTGGTCGAACCCGGACTCGAAAATCGACCCTACCCTGCTTTATAAAAAAACGATCGTTGGATCTCCAATAGTCAAATTTAATGGATGACCCAGATTTTATCTGGGCCAACGGTTGGGTGGCGGGTTTTGTGTCGGGCCGGGCCGGCCCAATCCGATAATTTTTTTTTTTTTTCTAAAAAAAAGGAAAATTTACTGGACCCATCCCAACGGGTTTGACCCCTGCCCTGCCCGACCTGCCTGTCCCGTCAAGGTCTGCCTGGTAAAAAAACTAAATATAAACAACCAAGAATCGACAATGTCAAACAACGGGCTTGAGTTCGGGCCCGTTGACCGCGGGCCGGGTTCGAGTCGAGTCGAACCGGCAAGTCGGGCCGACCCGTGGTCAAGTCTACCAGGCAATGACTAGGTCGTCCGACCGAGAACTTTTCGACGTTTTTCCAACAAGTTTTCCAACACTCTTTCGATGGATTTCTGGATGAGTTTTGACGAGGTCGAGCATATTTTCGACAAGCATTTTCCTAAAATATAAAATATAAAAAGAGAAATAAAATACACAAGACATCAAAACGATAAGAAAAACAAAAAAACGAACAAAAATGACTAAATTAACCAAGAAAAACCTAAAATAAAATAAAACTAACACAAATAAAACACTTAAAAATACATAAAATACAACAAAAACATACAAAACAATAAGATAAATCCCTTGTTAGACCAGGTATTTTTTTCTGACGCAATCGAATTTCATAACTAATTATCCCTCAATCCCTACTCTTCTATCAATAAAAAAATTCTAATGGCATAGTTGAAAACAAAAGGCTCACGCTATTGTGCCCCAAAATCCCAAACATGCACGATCCCATCCGACGAGCACGCAACCACACGCGTCTCGTTGGCAACAATGGCACTGCACTCCTCCATCCTCTCTCTAAAACTATACAAATACTCTCCACTCTCTATTCCCCAAACCCTAATCACACCACCAACCGATAACACAGCACACCCGCCGTTCATGCACCCGAGAACTTTTCCCATCCGACCCGACCCGCGTCTAACCGCAAACCGACTGACCTCACCCAAGTCGACCACCCGACGAATGTGGGCCCTACCACGGCCATCGGCCACGAGCACAGAATCGTGATTCGAGTCGAATGAGCCGACAACGATGCCCCTCCTCGACAGCTCGTCACCCGAGACGGTGGCTACTTGGTTTTGCAAGTCGAACGCGATGACTCTGTGTGACGTGCATGCAACTGCGTGTCCTTGGGCCGTGACACGGACGCTACCGATTGGGTCGGTCATTTCCGTCAGGGAGTGCCAACCTGTCAAGGCCTCTGGGTCTGTTAGGGTTCCGCCCACAAAGAGTAGCTCTTCGGTCTCGCCGTTCCATATATGGAATGAGCGACCCGGGACACCTGGAGAAGATTTAAAGAATTTACAACATTAGAAAGCGAGGTTTTATCTCAAAACCAATTGGTAATACGAGTAGTATTCCACTGATCTTCTAAGTTAGGCTCAGTTTTCCTTATATATATGTGAAACAACTGACAAGTGATATTGGAGCATTCATATTATTGATCAAGAATATTTTTATTAAAAAGTCTTTCTATTTAGTGCAACTTAACATAGTGAAATCACGGAAAAGCAACAAGCACCTGCATAGAGGCCGACCCACCACCGGCCCCTCCCCGAAAAGTCGATCAACGCTCCGTCGCTCACGACGTCCCCCGTTCGGGCCCGTCGTAGAAAGCTCGGACCATCGAGGCTCGACACGTGCACGTCCCCGTCTAGGGTGGCGAACACGAGCCGAGCATCAGTCAAGATGATGCCGGACACAGAGCTCGAGAATCGGCCCATGTGGCGGTCGTGTCCCTGTGGGTAGAGCACCGAGACGAGGTGGGGCCCGTCTGGGAGGCGGAAGATGTGGACCCCACCGTCGGAGAAGCCGATGGCCAAGTGGAGGTCGGAGAGCGCCAGGCGCCGACAGGACGGCTGCCGGCCAACGGGGCCCACGTCTGGGAGGAGGTTGAGAGCGGCGTGCGAATGGCGACAAAGGTGGAAATTGGCGGCGGTACGGTGGCGGTGGATGTACTCGTCCCGCCACGTGGGGTGACGGCCGAGGTCGGCCGAAACCCAAATGTGGCGGGAGAGGTTGTACCACAGGAGCTCCGAATTCGATATTGCTCGCCATGTGGAACAAACCTGTAAATATGAAAATAATTAATTTTAATATTATTATAAATATGTATTTCTTGTTTGTTTAAAGATTAGACATCCTTCCAACAACATTTATAAAGTAATCTAATTATAATGAGGACCGCAGATTTGTGGATGTTGTAAAATCAAGCCAAGTTTCTAATCAATGAGAAGGCAATTAAGCAGCTTTAGTCAAGGCTTAATTACTTCAATTATATTAATTGTCATCGTTTGAGGAATGGCCTACTGCAGTACGCAAACTAGAAGCCAGCATGAAAAGAAAAATAATTACAGCATATGTAAGTGCAACAAAATATTGGAAAATAAATTGAGAAAAGGTGTAAAAAGAAAAAAGAAAAAAGAAAAAAAAAACTTCAGCACTCTTGAATCTCATCAAATTCTAATATAAATAATTTCAACCAAACTATATTCAAAATCAATTGAGGGAAATTTAATGGATATTTTAGTATTTATAACTAGTACTCAATTATAAGTACATCACACACATATAAATAATGTATTATAAATCATATATATGTCTATTGTATTAAAATTATAAGTTTTGGTCATTAGTACACTATAAAAAAATTATTATATTCCAACGAAAAGTCCTACGATAATATATTCCAACAGAAATTTCAACAGATATTTCAATAGTATAACTTCCGTTGGAATGATTCAAACGGAAATTCCAACGAAAATATTGCGTTGGAATGACTTTTCCATTGTAATTTTAGATGGAATTTATTGACTCCAACGGCTATTTTTTCAACAATTTTTTACCATAGGAATTTCCGTTGGAATTTTTATTTTCACCTCCGTTGAAAAATCTTTTGTTGGAATCGTAAAAAATCCAACGAAAATTCCAATGTAAAACTCATTCCAACGGAATATTTTTGTTGAAAATTCCGTTGGAATTCCATTAAAATATATTTGTATTGGAACTTTCCGTTGGAATTTCATCATTTTGTTGTAGTGGTAAAAATAAAAAGTATAAAATTATTTAACTAAATAAGTATTAATATATTAATTGCATAAAATGTAATTAAAATTGTATATTTTTTTAATTTTCAAGGATCCAGACCAATTAATAATTTTAAAATATTGAATTATTATTATTATTACTATTATTATTATTATTATTATTATTATTGTTATTGTTCTTATTATTAATATTATTATAATTTTTATTGTTGTTGTTGTTATGCAATTGTTTATGCTGACTTTAAGGTTTGACTATATTACTAAAACCAATCAGTTAACTAAAAAAATGCTTAATGAGATATTAAAAATTGGATTTATTTTAGTTTAAATATCTTGAAAATATATTTTTCAATATAATTTTTGATACTTGTGTAATTTCTACATAACAGTTAAAAATATTATTACACTTTAATTAATAAAGAATATGAAGGTTTATTACAATAATTAGCTGAAAATAATAGGTGGACTTTTTCTTTTTCATTTGTTGGATAGCTTCCAATTATCATTTTAATAGAAGTTTTTCTAAATGTTGAAATTATTAGCGAAAAAAATCAATTTCAATGAAAATTTTTATAACAATATATTGTGTGAAATAAGTATTGTTGATGTTATCAAATTGTAACATAAGTTTCAACAAAAATTTAATTCCAACGAAGTATTTTAATGTTGGCTTCCGCTAAAACTTTCAAACGAAATTATAATATCTTAAATATTGGTAGAAATTTTTGTTGGAATATTTTTTTCATTAAACTTAATGCATGAAATTCGATATTTTTGTTGAAATTTAGCCAAAAAAATAAAAATAAAAAATCTTTAAAGTATATTTGACATGCATTCTTATTTTGTAATTTTAACTTGCGAGTTTGAAATATTTATTTAAGTGAATTTAAATACTAATTAATATTTTATCATATTAATGATTAAAGTATTCAATTTTTCATTACACTACTTAAAATTTTACCATATTAATTACAATAAATATGTTTAAAACATTTATAAAATATATTTTTTTAGATATTTATAAAATATTTTAATTCAACCAATAAAACTAATTAATTCAATTAGCCCAATTGTAGTTAAAAAAAACCCAACCACAATACATCTAAATAGACCCAAAATACAACCCAATTTCATTAAAAAAAAAAAAGTTTAAGAAGGTGAACAATAAAACGGTGTCACAACCATTCCACAAAATCAAAGGAGCAGTTTCCGCCAGATATAAAGGACTGATTGGAGATAAATTCCCCTCTATGTCGTTTCTGCTGGTTTTACAGTTGAGGTTGGAGATGCTCTAACCATGAGTAGGTGTCTACATCTCTCTTTCCAACACTTTTCCTTTCTTTTTTTTTCAAAAATAAAAATAAAGGGACAAAAAAATCTTATGGGAATATTAAATAACATGCAATTTGCTTAAGCCTTGTTCATACGTTGGTTATAATTAAGCCCTTCTTCCCAAACCCATGCTTAACAAATAAACAAAACAAATTGACCCATACCAAGACTTTTGACACAGGCATGCCAACAATTTTAGAATAAATAATTGAATTAAAAATTACTCATGCGCCGTATATTTTCTGCGGCTAACAAATTGAGGTTTTCTTTTCAACACACATTCAATTATGAAGGTCATTATCAGATGTTAAGACTGTTTTAGTAGCGATCAAATCATAACAACGGTTGCTGCACAATCATGGTAATTGAAGCTTTTGATTCGATCAATTGACTATTTCTTAATGTTGTTGTTTTGTATTGAACATAAGTATTTATTTAAAATATTGTAGTATTTATACCCTTCGATAAATTAAATTGGATGTCCATTGGTACAATCGTACATAATAATGTTAGCTTTATGATAATATCGAATTGTACCGGCATCATATCGTAAATATCGAAAAATACCGATCAATTAATAAAAAAATCTAATAAAAATAAAAAATAACAATTATTAGCTTAAAAATAAAATTTAAATTGTTAGTAGGGGTACTATATATACTTTATCTGATTGAGAAGTTGAAATTCAATGAATATATATGGTCATTTAATTTTTTATTGATATTATATTTTATATGCATATTTATATATATCAATAAATTTGTTGGTCCAGTAATACAAACAACCGATAATATCAAGTACTAATGGTTAGGGCATTACGAATAATGGTATATTAGTATTTAAAAAAAATAGATATTGCTTACATAGGTAGTCCAGTCCAATAAAATGAAATAAAAAAAAAAAAAAATCAAAGTTGGATTATAAATGTTTTTAAACTCGACCCTTAAAAGGACTCGGGCTGACCTTCAGTTCACCAGTTCAATTGTTGCGATATCTGATCAATTGTTGAATAAGGTAAATAATTTTAGAAAAAAAAAATCAAATTATAAATACTTATTTTTATATATTTTATAAATATACATAAAAAAAATAAAATGTTTATATTTATTTATTTGGTACAAAAATGTTTATATTTAAATTTTATATTTTAACGTGTTAATAATAGTATATTTCATCCTATATTATATTATTATATGAACATATACAAAATATTAATCTTTAAAATAAAATTGTTAAAAAAACAAAAATAAAATAAAATGACAGGATCAAATCAGATTGATCCGACTAATCAATGTTTTCCACATCAATCAGGTCAATACTGAATTGACTGAGTTGCTTGCTAACGGAACCAAAGAATCCACCATGACAGGACTCTGACCATGTCGAGCCGCCGGTCCAACTCAGTTGGGTTCAACAGACGCGGTCGAAAATGCTAACGAATTGGATAAATTTAAACTATTAATTTAAATAAAGAAAAAAAAGGAGAAGAATGAAAAAGACGGGTATTGACGATTGAGCTGACTGTATATTTCTAGGGAAGGGTGTGTGATCTGTTTTCGCAGTCTGATAATTCAAAAAACTGGTTTAATACATACAAATTAAACCAAAAGTTCTTTTGAATACATATTACTGACTTGTAAGTCACAGTGTTTACATCAAGAATGCCTCCAAACGAAGGTTTTTTTTTTTTTTTTTTAA